CACTGCTGCGAAATCGCCCTGGCGGGGAAATTTTTTCAGCACGTATTTACATCCCCTTTATTTATTCCTGTTTTCCATTTTAACACTCGTCATACCCCCCCTAATTTACGCCTTTCAAGAGAGTGCAGTTTCGGGCCCTCAGCTACCCTCATGGGGAAGATTCCTGATACTTGGGATCTTTTTGTCATCCTCCTCTGTAGTTTTCCAGAGCATTTTTATCCTTTTCTGTATACGGTGACCAAATAAGCAGCATAGTTAAATGAGGCCAAACCAAGGATATAAAAGGTTAAAGGGAACAACCGAGGACTTCTATTATTTATATTTCTAAATAAACCCAAGAATTCTGATATCTTTATTGCAAACACTAAGCCTTTTTGTTTTTGGTTTTAGATTACGCAAACCCGAATCCTAAACCCTTTTCCCCTCTGGTTTTTAATATCTCATTATTTAGTTATGTATTTTTGATGGTTATTTCCCTGTCCAACTTAAAAATTTTGCTTTTTGTCAATTTTTAAATCACTGCCACTTCTCCGCCTTTGCTCGTTATTCAATATCCTAGAGTGCTCTAGCGTCCTCATTACTGAATTGGAGGGCCCCTTTTTGGTGTCTCGCAAATTTGTTAGTACTTATTTTTCCCTATCTATGTCGTTTATGTAAATTGTGAACAACAACGGGCCCAAAAACACTGACCCCTGGGAAAACACTGCTTGGAGTCCCCCATTCTGTTTTCCCCTTTTATGCAAATCTTGCTGCCATTTGTCAGCCATCCTTCCAGGAAAAAAATTTCTCCCCCTATGCCGTGTGCCTTAAGTTTCCTCAATACCCTTGGTGGGGAAAAATTTTTCAAAAGCCTTACTGAAGCCTTACAAAATTCAATTCTTACCATGATCACCCCTCAAACCCTTAGTGAAAAAAGTTAGAAAATTTTTAAAGACAGGAACGCCCCTTTGTAAAACTGTTTTGAGTTCTTTAATCAAACGTCCTTCAAGATGGCTACGAATTGCTTTGGCAATTATTGATTCCATAAATTTTCCACATATGGAGGTATGGCTTATTGGTCTATAGTTCGAAGCCAAGGACCTGTCACCTGCCTTGTAAATAGGTATTACATTTGCCATTTTTTCCACTTATCCAGCACTAATGCCAGTTTGTAGTGATATGTTAAAAAGATTAGCCAAAGATATGCTAAGTTCCTCTTTACATTCCTTTAACAACCCTTGCAAACAGTTCATCCAGGACCTGGGGATTTGTTAG